CACTCAAAATTACTAAAAATCTCAATTTTTCTAAATGTATGACTCAGGAGGGTCTTTTCTTTTCAGAGGACCTACAATAGTATTTTTTCCACAACACATTTTGTGTAGTACCCCAAGAGAGAAGGCAGTTAGGAGAACAAACAAAATTCAGTGATATATATTTTTCTTTTGTACACAACAAAACGGTGAGTTGTTATTGGTCGTCCCCACTGTGTCATAATCTCCTGAATAAACTGCCGATTTGAGATTCGCATAGATTTAGCAATCTCTCAATTCAAACTCTCATAACTTTCTTATTATTGGTCAGATTTATTTTAAACTTTCTCCCCTTTTCTCATTTTTGTTTCTCCTCTCATACAAATTAACTTACACAAGTAGGGGTATTACTTGAACTATTTTTTTTTCCCGTTTTCTCTCTCAATAAAATTACTATAAAGCGAAAGGATAACCAAATTTGCTTTTATTATAGTGTTAGAATGAAGTTCATTGAAAAATAAATGTCAGGTATTAAGAAAAGTCTTTTCAGCTTTTACAAAATTGGAATGATACCAATGTTTCGACGATCCTCGCTAAATGCCACAGATTCACCTCTTCAAATTTGGTGAACCTCATTCATTTGTATTTTATTTGTATGTTAATCTCCACTACTGCGATCTCCCCCTCATTGCTGCAAGACGAAGATGAGGTGAACCCTGAATTTTGGGGCGTACGAGTTCGTAGATAACGTCTTTTCGATGCTTGTAGCAAGTGTTAGGAATATTAGAACACACCCTCAAAATCGCTATAATACTTAGGGTACGTTTATGCTTAATTTTGAAGGCAGAATGAGCTATTTGAAACGCTCATCGTAAACGCTCATCGTAATCACAGTTCCACGGTGTACTGTTTATGCTCACTTCTCTTGCTCATCCGGGCATGATTCTGGCTCTGCAGCTGGATTCGCAAACCTGCACTGCGCATGCTACGTTGGCCCCAGTTAAACGCGTTTACAAATGATTGTGCGTTTATGCTTCCCCAGAATCGCCGATCAAAAACGCACCTTTTTGTGAGTTTACGATCAGCGATTATTATCGGCGTTTTTTGGTGATTCTACAAACATGAGAAAGGTCGCAACCGTGTTTTGAACTAAATGCGTACTAACAAATGCCTCATTGTGGCCAGAAAACAGTTGAGCATAAACATACCCTTAAAGGCATCGTTTAACAATATTAAATCTGAGATGCACGGCCCCGCGTGCTATCAGTGTTTGAAGCCCTAAAAATATTGCGCTACAAAATGATCAGGAAGTGCCTTAAAAAAGTAAAGATCTTTGAGTGACCGGTTTCACCATACTTGTTTTCCCCAATAGACTGTAGTGTTATGAAAAGCGTTAGGAAAACGCAATTTGATTTCGATTTCCAATCATAAATATCTTGATAATTAAACAGGCGATAGGCTTGTAAAGGCATTGGGTGACCTAAAGGTTTATAAATATCATTGCAGCGCATGAGCTAAATCCAGGATTTTGTTTCAGAATCTGAGACAAAGTTACTCAATCCCTTTAAAGGGATTTCATTATGTCCTTTTGGACTTTGAACCATGGAAGGAATAGAGCCGGGCCTGCCATTTGAGCATTCATCCGGTTTAAATTGGAATCATTCCAACTTTCGCTGCTTGGATGATATCAATATTTCACATCGTGCGACGGTACTCCATCACAAAATTGTACGTAAATCACGTGTAGAGACAACCCAGTAGCAATACCATACATTACCGAATGTTATAGAATTACATTATGGAATCGTAAAAATCTTTTCAATTGGCAAGCGATTCCTCATATTAGTATTTTTGTCGACGTTAAACAGCCTGATACAGTCATCAGATATCTACTACACTGTCGCTCATAAAGGTGGAATATTTTTTTTAATCCCAATTTATGGAATTATTTTAAAAATAATTTAAAAATAATAGATCTAGATAATAGTACATTCTCAGATTTTATTGAATAATAATTTGCCAATGTGTGTTTTGCGTGACTGCTAAAGCATGTGTATGCTACTATGCTTATCAACTAGGGGACCTATGCTCTTAAGTCATAAATGACAGTAATGAGGATTAATGCCCCACAAAAGGGCACTAATATAGCACATCGACACGGTTTTGATCCTGGGGCCTCACAGTTACGAGGCTATTGCTTTGTCACTGAACCATGACTGTACGCAGCGGGGGCTAGGGTAGGGGGCAGTTTCCATAAATAAAAAAAACAAAACAGAAAATGCAATAAATTTTCAATAATTTATTGCATTGTACCCCGGTTCCCAACGTAAAAAAAATCTTCTGTGTGCCCATGCCTTGAGCCATAATGCATGGCCGTCCAGATGATTTTTTTTTATGTTGGGGACCGGGGTAAAATGCAATAAATTATTGAAAATTTATTGCATTTTCTGTTTTTTTTTTAATTTATGGAAACTGCCCCCTACCCTAGCCCCCGCTGCTTACAGTCATGGTTCAGTGACACAACAATGGCCTCGTAACTGTGAGGCCCCATGATCTAAACCGTGTCGATGTGCTTTATAAGTGCCCTTTTGTGGGGCAATAATCTTCATTACTGTCATTTATGACTTGAGGGCGTAGGTCCCCTAGTTAATAAGCATAGTAGCATGCACATGCTTTAGCAGTCCCGCAAAACACACATTGGCAAATTATTATTCAATAAAATCTCAGAATGTACACTATTATCTAGATCTATTATTTTTAAATAATTTTTAAAGTAATTCGATAAATTTGGATAAACTAAAATATTCCACTTTTATGAGCGACAGTGTGAAATCTTAATTTCGGTCGGTGTATGTGACATATTGAAGTGGACTTAATATGTACGTATTCTACCAACCTTAACTTTAGGTAGGCAAGCGCTCGTCCACTCATTATCCTTTGGATGAACAAAACTCTTTCTTAGATTGTTTGGACTTTTAAAGACAGCACTGCATGATGCCTAGCTTGCTATAGAAAGCCTGTTTCAACGTGGATACGGCCAGATCATCATCAAATTAACATTGCCAGATATAAACAGGTAAATAATCTTTTCTAAATGTTGTGAAATCATTACGTCGAAGTATGAATAAATAGTTTTCTTTTTTCTCAAAGCATTAGACCCCTGGTATCTACCTGTACATGTATATATTTATATATATATAATATGTTGTTCATATATATTTATTTGGTTGTATTTTTGTAGAGTAGTATACGTGCTGTTGGTACTGACAATATGTTATAATAGAGTTTATAGTTTTATTTAATTTCTTTCTTTTTTTAATTTTTTTTAGAATCTCCGCTTCAATTTATTGTGTGTTGTTTGCTGCCAAAGAACTTTTCTTTTGTAAGATATTCTTTTTTGTTACTGTCTTAGTTGTAAAATATCTTTGTATCATTTTTCTGTATTTCTTCCATGCACCAGGTGAGGCCGTTTAAAAAATACCTTCAACCTTTCAACTTTTCAGTGTGATGTGTTGTTAACAACATTCAATTCAAGTCAACGTAAATAGAAAAGAAGTGCTCCTGTAATATTAATTTTTCTTTCGTGCTTTCTGTTCTTATAATGTGTAATACAATTTTGATGGATTGTCAAGGGAAGAATTTGCACAAGGTTTCCTTTCGTCCGAGTTATTTATGATCTGTTTTTCTTTTAAAATGATAACACAGTTATAATATTCATGAGGATGTTCTATAAGTAGAAAAGTAGAAGGTATTTGGGGATAACGTGAGCTATTTATCATAAAAGGGCCCATTAGCTGGTATGCAATGTACTGAATATTTTTCTGCTGGGTTTCATTGTTATGTTAACTTCTTTTTGTATTTTCATAATTCAGTCAGAATTTTAGACTATCAGCATGCATGCAAATTGCGTGTACAATATAGAGAACGAGCGAGATATTGAGGCTAGATGTTAAAGGTCGAAAGATTAATGAACCTACAGCCAGTTGGAGACAAATTAGTCGCATTTATCTACTTCAATCCAAAATAATAATCTTGTATTTAAAAATAGACATTTTGACATAAATAAAATCTCTCGTCATGAAATCTGTAAAAAGAACATGATGGTGAAAGAAAAATCCAACCTCATTTTTTTTAAGCAGAGACAGCAGCAAACGGGAAGAATTCTGATTGAAATCGGACAAAACATAAGGAAGTTTCGAATATTATAAGATTGTTATCATTATACGTATGGGTACTTCATAGTGGCTGCACCGGTAATGTCACGGTGACGTATTGCCGGATAACTTACCAATTTATTTCAACAACAAAAAAAACTAAAATGTCAATTGTTCAAAATGTATGACTCAGGGACCTACAATTATATACGATCCACATCATGTATTGTGTAGTGCCCAAAGGGAGAAGGCAGTTTAATAGTATAAAACAAACACATTTTGGTTGGAGTGCCCTTCAATAAATTAAGAGACTGCTTTTCAGCTCATAAAAAATTGAAATAGTTCCATTGTTTTGACGATCCTCGCTTAAAATGCCACAGATTCGCCGCTTCAAATTGAGTGGACCTCATTCATGTGTATTTTAATTGTATGTCACCAGATTGTCAAGACTTGTGCTTTTCTGTAGTACGAATAAATAGCGTTACATGTATGTGTCCGGTAATAGGTTAACGCATCTTAATTGATTAAATGTTGGAAACAAAGAATAACATAAGGAAGAAAAAAAAAACGATTTGATGGAAGGATGAATATAAAGAATAATTTAGGGAAAGTTAGAGAGAGGGAAAATTGAAAAGAAAAAAAATAAAAGAAATACATGAGGAAGAATAGAAGTTAGATATTATTATTTTTTTTTTATTTCTGAGCGTACGAGTTCGTTGATAACGCCATCTTCGGCGACATGTCAGCACACACCCTTCAATCGATATTATACTCCATAACGTACTTGGACTTTGAACTATGTAAGGAACAAAGGCCCCGTATTTGTGTATTCATCCATGTTATTAAATTGAAATCATTTCAGATTTCTCGCTGATTGGATGATATTTATATGTTTGATGTGCTACATAACTACACTACACCATCCTCAAGGACCAACACTCTCTGTCATCATTGTACGACCATCATGTGTGGGGAAAACCCAGTGTCGATGCTATACATCACGGACATTATGGACTCGTAAAAATTCCTCCTATCAGTATTTTGTGTCGATGTTTTGTCTGGGTTAGCAGCCTGATAAAGTCACCATCAGTGCATGTGACATTTTAAAATGGACTAAGCATACATGTATGTTACATGATCTACCAACCTTAAAATTTAGTAGGCAACACGGACGCTCTTTGCTATGGAAGGTTCGTTTCAAAGTGGATATGCCCAGATCATCATCAAATGAACATTGCCAGATTGTATTCCTTTCTGTAACCCGCAATTTGACTGACTCTCAAGAGATTCCAAAAGGGCAAACGTAAGTACAGGTAATACGTTTTTAGAGTTTGGGTTGTTACTGGATTTTAAGTAGGTCTATTTTCTACTTCTTAGGATTAGGGAATAGTTAAAATGTTGGGTTCAGGGTTTTAAAGGTACTATGTCCCTTTTGCAGCCAACCTCAAATGCTGTAGAACTTTGCAGGAATTATGAATATGTCATGTATGTCCTATCTGTGAAATTTAAACGTTAGCAGTGTCCTCATATTCAAATTATGCAAGGAAACCCGTTTACTTGCTAGATTTCCCTGTCAGACATTATTAAGAAACTGACTGGCTTTTTTTCTTTGATAATAACATACATGAAAAGAGTTGTAAAGGGTACATGAGCATTTGTCTACATCAATAACCCACTTCTTGTGATGGCCAAGATTAAACTGATTGAATCTTTGCGCAGCATAAAACGTATGACCATTCGGTACAATTGTCTGAAAATCAAGACTAGGCCTATTACTTTTGGGCTCTATAGCCCTAAAGTCGATTTGACAACTAATAGTCGTTATTTTCCCATTTGAAGACATTTTCAAGCCCCACCTTTTTTAGGGAAGTTCTAAATTAGTATTATCTTTCAAATGCAGTTGGAATTTAACTTTTTCATTTTTTTGGCCTACAAAAAGGACAGTGTACTTTTAAGTTAGGGATGCAGTTGGTGCTAAAATTGCCACTGTAGCATAGGGTATTATATTGTCTTCTATGAGCGCTCAAAATACACGGGGGCGATGGGCGATTCGCCCCCGTGAGCTCCATAATCGCCCCCGTCAGGTTGCTCACGGGGGCGATTGAAAAATTAAAAATCGCCCCCGTGGAATTATAAAATAAAGATTATCTTTTCTGATATAACTTTAACACAATATTAAGTATCAATTTTCAAACCTTAAACCAATGAAATGGAACTTAGATGGCGCAAGGACTGAAACATGGAGAAGTTTTTCGTTGTAAAAAGTGTGAATCCTCTGAAATCTGGTTATTCTAAAAGGCCAGCAAATAATGTAACTCGACCAGTAAATCAATATTGAGAAGGAGATCACCAAAGATGTTGCAGGGTGTAAAGTTGTGAAATGTTTTATTACACGACTTAAAACAACCCGTGTTTAAGGAGTGAACCATTCAATGTTGTGTAAAGTCGTTACACAACGAATTTGCAGTGCACACACATGTAAATCTGAGATTGTTCATTAATATTATGTTATTAAATACAGTTCGCAGAATCATCTGTAAATAACTATGTTAAGCATTTACAGTCTATAAAAAATAGTTCCATAAATTAATATAATCTCTGTGTTTGGATCAAGCAATACAAATGCGTTTCCGGAAGCGAGAAAAAAAAATATGGAAAGAGGGGAAGGTCGAAATCTGTTTACGTGCAATACTTTTAGTGCACCGCGAGGACAACTATATTATGTCAAAGTCATGTTAATCCAGATAAGGTTATTCGAGGAATAAACTTTCAGATTCATATTTAAATCCCAATAAATAATATGTAGTCAAAATTAAATATAGTAAGGTACAATCGACATGTCTACGGGTGCTTCCACTAAACGACATGACTTGAAAAAATAATAGAAAAGCACGCACGTGCAACGAGGACAAAATAAGAATAAGATAACAGCCCAGTATATACATCATCCATGTTTTGAAACTAACTACGAGGGTGGCGCTAATTTTCTCTTTCGATTCATAATTAAATAGAAAACAGGATGAGCTCAGAGTTTTTATGTCGACCATTACCATTAAAACCATTTTTTTCTTCTTTCGCGAAATCAGGGGGGTCTGGTCTAGGTCTCTACTTTTCTGAAGAGGAGTGTTAATTACTCTTGTGCAATAAGATTGACAAGGTCTTCATGTCTTTTGTCCTTCTGCTATTTATTCTGAATAGTGTAGTTGTGTTTTGTGGCCAAGTTTCCATTTCGACATCACCCCCGCGTGAGAACAGTGAAGATATATATTTTCGAGCTCAAGTACTTCCTTATTTCAGCTTTTAATCAACTACAAAGGCGATATGGGCGCGACAAAAAAAATAACAAAATAGGTTCAGTCGATTGCAACGGTTTTTCCCTCTGGCATTCACGAGTGTTCATAAATACTTGTATATGTTTAAGAGAACTAGTCCTAACGAACAAAGGAAACTCCAATTTGACTATACTACATTGCGACGATCATATCCACTATACAGATTGAGTAATACGTATGTATACGGGCTTGGACCAGAAATTTCGTACAAAGGGAAGAGATCGGACCATTAGCTGCATGTTATAACTTGTAAAGTTGTAAAAGAAATAATGCCGACTATTAATGATAATGATGAAATAGCAAATAATTTAGGAGTTTCATGGGTACCACCAATTCAATGGAAAAAGAGCCCCCGTCTGTAATAAAAGAGCCCCCGTGAGAAGGCTCACGGGGGCGCTTATTATTTTGGAAGAGCCCCCGTGGACAAAAAATTAATTTGAGCCCTGTCTATGACCATAAGTTTGCTTTATTTCAGTTATGCTGCATTCTGTATAATTAATGCAAACGTGGTACATTAATTCTGTTAAAGGTATTGGCCTAAGCCCGGGGCCGAATTAGTAAAGCTTTCCACTGTGTATGCAAAGTTAATTACTAAGCAATATTACAGACGCATAATAACAAAATATATGTTCCTGGTGTTTAATAGAAATTATCGAAATATGACTACATGTACATTTATCAAATAGTATTAGCAATGTTTGTATTCGTTTACAAAAGTACTATCCAAAAATTGGTTAATTTTTGTATGTAACTTTCTTCTAAACAGAGCACACAAGAACACAAAGAACGTCAAACAAAGAACTTCTCACAGTAGAGCTCGTACATGGCAACAAGGCATTTGCATCTAAATCTTCTGATACGCAATCTATCTTCCACATCGGAGTCTTAAACGGAAGGATACATATGTTGCTACAGCTGAGTTATTTATTGGACAAGCAACAACAATGTCTGCGGATGCATGTAGGTCTTTATAGATATTCCTGTCAACTTCACATCATTGAGCTACAGAACTGCTGCCTTTAATGTACACTGATTAGCATGCGGAACTACATGTAAATTCGTTCATAATTCTTCATATTATCCTCCAGGAACCTGTACTTGATCACGTTGCTGAACGACTGATTATTCTAGGAATTTATACTTTTTCTTTGAAGACTGTTGGTGAACATTCTGTGACTTGTTGTTTAGCATCTACGTTCAAATACAAGTCACCATGTTCAAGCTTGACCAGGTGACAGCTACATTTATAATCACAACATGTTTAATGTTTGTTATCACACTGTTGAATGTACATACATGCGAGTGTAAGCATATTTATTCAGTGAAAGGAAAAAGTGCTCAATTAAATTTCCCATTTCCATGTGACAGTACGGAAGTTACATTACAACAATCAGTCGATCCCCCATTTTTTCGCTTCGCAGATGGGTTCGTACTTTCAATGCCACAATCTGAATCAAACCGATTCAAAGTTCAAATTAGCGTCGAAAATGGAAACTGTTCTTTGGACCTTACAATAAGTAATTTAAGGTATATAGATGAAGGTATATATCTTTCTACTATATACATGGATGGGCAACTACTTGATGAACTCACAACAAGAATTTGGCTACGAGTGGACTATCCTCCTGATAAGGCATCGTGTGTGGAAGTACAAGATAAAGGGGGAGACTGGGTTTCGATAGATTGTACTGCTATTATTGGGAATCTCGCAGGGAAGATTGAATGCTATCAAAATGGTCAAAAAGTGACACCACTGAGCCATCCCGTTGAAAACGACTCTTCTGTGACAGAAAGCTTTCTCATAAGAAAATCACAGCCAGCATTCTGCTGTTCGTCTACTTTAAATGAATACACAGATAGATGTGAGTGTAATGATGATGCTCTGAATCTAGCTGATGGTGATAGCAATGACCCTTGTCCTCCTTCATCAATAATTACAACAAGGCCTCTTATTTCCATCGTCACAGAAAATAATCAAGCTGATTCCATTGGAGTGTCATACACCCCCATCAATATGAAAGAGTACAACAAATGCAACGAATGCGTGATCATTCAATCAGTTCATTTTTCTATTGAAGTTGTACTGTTCTTATTGGGTGTATGTGTTTGGTATAGAAAGAGAGCAAAGACCACACGTAATCATCAAGTAATGATCGGAATGCACGTTCATGGGGACGGGGAAAGTAAAGATGGAGTTGACCCCTTTCTCCCTCAATGCATGGGCATATCTGCGTCTAACTGTGAGTGTGAAAGCACCACCTTGCCAGGAAGCGGTGTTTTGGTGGAAAGTAATAAAAGCGAGAAAGAGATTACAGTAAAAAAAGAATACTAAGACAAAGAATAACATAAGGAAAGGTAATAAACAAAGAATGCATAAGGAAAGAAAAAAGACGTTATGATGGAAGGATGGATATAGAGAAAAATTTAGAAAATAATCCTATTTAAGCAGTTTAGCAGATGATATAACGCTGACGGAAATCCTTTTTGGTTTAATAGGGAGAGAGAATTTCGACGATCGCTGATGCTTTCTATTCTATCTACTGTATATCCATTTGAGTTCTTCTTTGATTTATTTTTGTTACATGGATATAAACGTCTGTTTTTTGGTATTAAGTTTATGTTGAATGTAAGGGAAAGATGGAGATAGAGGAGGAAGGAGAAATAAAACAAATATAAAGAAGTACATGAAGAAGAATAGAGGTGAGATGCAAGGAGAAAGATCAAAATATAATAAGGAAAGAACGACTTGATAGAATGATGTAAAATATACAGAGTAGCTGATAGAATAATCAGCTCAAGTCAAAAGTACTGATCAATTTTTGAACCAAGATTCATGTGTTTGATTTTGGCTTCCGAACTGCATGAACACTTATATTCCAGAATCTGGCCGTTTTTTTTAATAATCTCCACTGCAGCGATCTCCCCATATTGCTGCAAGCCGAAGATGAGGTGATCCCTGAATCTCGGCGTACGAGTTCATTGATAACGCCATATTCGGCGGCCTGTAGCAAGCGTAGGGAACATCATAACCGCATACTCTCTGGCACCATTGTATGTAAATCACGTGTGGGAAAACCCAGTAATAATGCCATATATAATAAATTACACCCCTGCCAGTCAATATCTGTATTACATTACGGACTTTATAGAAAATCAGAGAGAGGGAGAGAGGGAGAGAGGGGGAGGGGGTGGGGTGGGAGAGAAAGTATTGAGGTCAGAAGTTAAAGGTCAAAAGTTTAATGAACATACATGGAGATGAAGGCCTAGTATTAGGCGCATTATAAATGTGAGCTATTATTATTATTATTATTAGTCGCATTCATCTTCAATCTACATGTAAATATAATCTTGTATTCTAAAATCGATACTTTGCAACAAATAAAACCTTGTGCCATGAAATTTGTAAATGGAGCATGTGCCCCTCTAGTAGTACTTGTACTTTCGTGCTTTCTTTTATTACAATGTGTAATAAAATTGTGGTGGATTGTCCAGAGAAAAAAATTGGCACACAGTTTCATTTTTTCCGAGTTGTTTATAATCTACCTTTCTTTTTGGATAATAGCACAGATTTTTATATTCATGGGAATGTTTTATATAAACTAGAAAAGTAGAAGGTATCTGGGGTTAACATGAACACTTTTGTTATCATACAGGGGCAGTTTTCTTACTGGCCCATTTGCTGGTATGCAATGAGCCGAATAATTTTTCTGCTGGGTGTCATTGTTATGTTAACTTCTTTTAATATTTTTATAATTTATTCATAACCCCAGACTGTCAGCATGCAAAATTGAGCACGTGTACAATATAGAAAATCAGAGAGAGGGAGAGAGGGAGAGAGGGGGAGGGGGTGGGGTGGGAGAGAAAGTATTGAGGTCAGAAGTTAAAGGTCAAAAGATTAATGAACATACATGGAGATGAAGGCCTATTAGTCGCATTCATCTTCAATATACATGTAAATATAATCTTGTATTCTAAAATCGATACTTTGCAACAAATAAAACCTTGTGCCATGAAATTTGTAAATGGAGCATGTGCCCCTCTAGTAGTACTTGTACTTTCGTGCTTTCTTTTATTACAATGTGTAATAAAATTGTGGTGGATTGTCCAGAGAAAAAAATTGGCACACAGTTTCATTTTTTCCGAGTTGTTTATAATCTACCTTTCTTTTTGGATAATAGCACAGATTTTTATATTCATGGGAATGTTTTATATAAACTAGAAAAGTAGAAGGTATCTGGGGTTAACATGAACACTTTTGTTATCATACAGGGGCAGTTTTCTTACTGGCCCATTTGCTGGTATGCAATGAGCCGAATAATTTTTCTGCTGGGTGTCATTGTTATGTTAACTTCTTTTAATATTTTTATAATTTATTCATAACCCCAGACTGTCAGCATGCAAAATTGAGCACGTGTACAATATAGAAAATCAGAGAGAGGGAGAGAGGGAGAGAGGGGGAGGGGAGGGGGTGGGGTGGGAGAGAAAGTATTGAGGTCAGAAGTTAAAGGTCAAAAGATTAATGAACATACAGTACACGCCGAAAATCTCCGCAACACGATTTACACGATTCAAAATTTACACGATTCGACTGCTCGCGGGAATCGTGTAACCATTTATTTTTACACGATTCGTTTTTTGCCAATGAAGCGAAATTTGAATCGTGTAAACGTGTAATCGTGTACAATTACACGATTCCTCAATTCAGATAGAATCGTGTAATCGTGTAATCTTCCCGCCGAAAATCTCCGCAACACGATTACACGATTCAAAATTTACACGATTCGATTGCTCGCTGGAATTGTGTTACAATTTATTTTCAGTGGTGATGGTGAGCAGGTTAAGGATGTCTAGTTCAGTAAAAGCAAGAAGTTACTTCTTGGTTGAACGAGGACAAGTGGACGATACGAGCGGATAGCGAACATTACGCTTTCTTTCTCTTGTATATATTTTTAATTGCAGTGTCTTGTCTCTAGTTTTATTATAGACTGTTTGAAAGTTAAAAAAATATCAGTCCACTTCCCGAAAAGCACTCTCGGATTTAATCATCGGTGAGAAAAAAAGAAAAAAGCGACGAACGACGAAGGAAGGGCATTTTGTTATTCATAAGTTGTAAATAAGTAAAAATGATTACAAAATGTAAAGGAGGGCTAACATAATTAAGTATGTTGTGATACTCTTACATTACAAGGCTGTACCAATTAGAATTATGTTCACCAGCTAATTCGTTACTATGAATATCGTTATACTTTTTGTTATTCAATCATTATCCATTTTACAAACCTGGTTTGTAAAAACGCGTCAAAACGCGTCATATGACGCACAAAAACCAAGGTTTGACGACAAACCTCCTTTGTGAATTCGGGCCTTAGACTTTGATCACTTATTGCTTTTTTAGCGTTCCTCATTTTCGTAAATTACCTTTTACAACATTGCATTATTCAGCTATATGTATAAAGAGCTACGGTCAAGGCTTAAGGGCACACTTCCTGTCACATACAAAAGAAGCTTACTCTGAATGTGGCCTGCCATTGACCCTCGCCGGGGACAAAGGCCGTTGCCCTAGCTACAGGCAGAGATCCTTACATAATACCTATTGTTCAGGGGGTTCCCCTTGAACATAGGATCCCCCTGAACAATAGGTATTACATGTACGTAAGTGTGTAAGCCACTGGCTACAGAGTGTAGGGAACAGTTGCAAGCCGAGAATGAATAGAATAAGTGAATGGCCAACTGTCTTTGAGTTACGTTTAGCTAGCGGCACAGTGTCCCCCCACTTTTTCAAGTTCCCCCAAAGTGCCTCTTTGAGTGTAGGAAAAGTACCTATTTTACTTTGACAAGTGTCCCTATTAATTTGTAAAAGTGCCCCTTCCCCTTTCAACTCTGATAAGTGCTCCTTTTCTTTTGACACACGCCCCTTTTTCTTCGACGAGTTCCTATTTTCCTTTGCAATAAGTGTCCATTTTCCATTCTCATTAGTGTCCTTTTAATCTCTAGTAAGTATCCCCCTTTAAGTACGAGAAGTGCCCCTCTTCACTTTTGATAAATGCCCCCATCAACTCTGATAAATGCCCCTATTAAAATCTGATCGGTGCCCCTTTTCTTTCAACTAAAGCTTTTTTATCGCTCTTTCTCTCTCTCTCACTCTCTCTCTTTCTTTCAATATCTTTCCATCCCCCATATCTTTCTCGCCTCTCTTTCCTTCATTATGTTCCCCTCTTACCTTATTTATTTGTCTCTTTTCCTCTCCGTTTCATAGCCTTCTCATTTCTGTTAATTTTACTATGTTTCGCCCTTCTTTTTTTTATCACTCTATTTCACTCTTTCTTTTCTTCCGGTCAACTTTTTAGTTTTCCCGTTTTCTCTCTTGCATAATTTTTTCTGTTTATCTTTATCGTGCCTCTCAACCCTCATTTTCCTTTTATATGTTCCCTTCTCCTCGTAGCTATCTTTTTTTCCTTTACTATTTCATCTGTCTTCCTGTTTCTGACGTTTTCCTACCTTGTCTCACGGATTAGTATACGATACATGTTAGTGGAAAGTGCTGAGGTTTATACACGAATATAAAGTACAGTAATTAACTGATGTACACTGAAGGTAAGTTGTGTATAAAGCAATTGGTGTAAGCAGGATAAGATTTAACGATTGTTGCAGCTTGTCGCATCGTTCTACCAATGCCCTTATAACCCTAACAACTATTTACACGATTCAGAGCGACATTCTTCAATCGTGTAAATTTACACGATTACACAGTTACACGATTGTTGCATCTGGTCGAATCATCCCACTAATGCACTTAACTATTTACACGATTACACGATTCAGAGCGACATTCTTCAATCGTGTAAATTTACACGATTACACAGTTACACGATTCAGGTGAATCGTGTAAACCGTGTAATCCTAAAAATAAATCGTGTAATCGTGTTGCGGAGATTTTCGGCGTGTACTGTACATGGAGATGAAGGCCTATTAGTCGCATTCATCTTCAATCTACATGTAAATATAATCTTGTATTCTAAAATCGATACTTTGCAACAAATAAAACCTTGTGCCATGAAATTTGTAAATGGAGCATAAGTTTTTAAAGGAAAATCCAACCCAAAGATAAAAAACTAATTATTTTGAAACAAAGCAGAGACAGCAGCAAACTGATTAAATTCTGAATGTTTATTGGGCATAACATAAGAAAGTTGCGAACATATTGAAATTGGTATCATTATATGTATGGGCACTTCAAATTGGCTGCACCTGTATTGTCAAGGGTAACGAATTGCCGGATAACTTACCTATTTGTTTCAACACCCAAAATAACTAAAATGTAAATTTTTCAAAATGTATGACTAAGGGGGACTTTTTTAAGAGAACCTACGATTATATATTATCCATAATCTATTTTGTCTAGTGCCTCAAGAGCGGAGGCAGTAAGAAGAATTAAAAAGATTAATGATATATACAAGTAAAATTGTACACGACAAATGTCACATTCTACTGAACAAACTGCCGATTTGAGATTCGCATAGAATAGTGATTTGACTATTCAAAATCTCATAACTTCATAACTTTGTTATTATTGGTATGATTTATTTCAAACTTTCTCCCTTTTTAAAATTATTTTTGTTTATCCTTTCATACAAATCAATATAGGTAAAAAGATTCGATTGCCACTCAAAAATTCATAGGGAGTGAAGGAAGTAGGGTTAATATTTAAAACCTTATTTTCC